GCTGCAGGTGTAGGCACGAACTAACCTAGTAGCACTGGGTCTCCAGGCAGCCAATCAACCTTGTCTCATCCAAGTGAGTGGCAAATGGCCTCTCTGCACCCTCAGCTCTAACACCAGTCCCGTACCACCTATAAAGGAAGGAGATTCAAACTGCCCAAGTGCAGTGGCTGGCCAGCTGGATGACGGAGCTGAATGTCTGCCTGCAGCCACCAGCCTTGCCCACCTGATGGCCACTCTGGCCTGGGACCAGCTGCCCTCCATGAGCGCAGTTCCCAGGGCACATCGAGGAAAGCGGTTTGCAGAGCTGGGAAGGAATCCTGCTGGGAGAGAGGCTGCTTAGAAACTCCAGGGTAGGCTGGTGAGGGTCAGCTGCAGGAAACCAAACCTCCATGTCAACATGCACCAAGATGAAGACTTAACATTGAATCCATTAGACAGAAATAAAAACCTGAAATTAAAGTCACCACACGTGAAAGTAAAAATTGGTATAATGAGCTTATGAAAATATGCATTTGAAAATGTTATCTGCCTAAAACTACAGTGCTTTCTTATCTTCCTTCTTAAAATATTGAGTTACATCTTTGAAACCCTGATGTATCACCTTTATGAAAAATCAAAGCTTAAATGAATGCCTAAAACCAGGCACATATCATTTTACTGTGTTTCCCTTTATTGTTGCACAGAGACTACATGTTCACAAATTGAAGGTCTGCAGTAACACTGCACCAGACACGTCTATGGGGGACATGCTTCCAGTATCATGTGCTCTCTTCGGGTGTCTGGTGTGTCATATTTTGGTAATTCTCACAATATTGTGAACTTTTTCATAATGCTATTGCATACTTAATAGACTACAGTATAGTATGAAACCAAAAGAAAACTGTGTGGCTCCCGTTACTGCAACGGCCTGGAACCAAAACGACAGTATCTCTGAGGTCTACCTGTAATACTTTCTGTATTGCCGGAGAAGTTTCCATAGATACAGATTATATGAAATTTATATTCACAAATCTCAATGGGCTGCCTTTTTAACTACTAAAGCAAAGGCTTTATTGTCTTATTTTATTTAAAATGTTGAGACCTGTTGGCATATAATGTCATCCCTAGCATATGTGACTATTTAAAATTAAGTTTATTTAAAAAACAAAACACTTATTCCATCACACTAGCCACATCCCAAGGACTCAACAATCACTCATGCCTATTTATGTGGTTAGTGAATAAAATACCTGCATCATAGGCTGACGTGTTACTGGAGAGGGTTATTCTCCATCTTCTTTCTTTTGTAAGCTCTCAGAAAGCTTCTAAGGGTTTCAAGTATCAACTCATCTTTAATGATCTCCAAACCTTTCTCTAGTCTGATTAACCTGATGGAGTAACTTCAGTAACCTACTTGGTATTTCCATTCTACTTTGTCAAATGGAGCGATGGAATTGGTAGTTGGAGATTATGGAAGTGGCAAGAAAATTAACCAGGTGCAATAAAATCAATATAATCAAGGATGGGAGGCTTTGTCAGAGAAAAGCTAAGACTGAGTTTCAGACGATCAGGACAACACTCTACCCCACTCACCCATCCTGAAAAAATAAAGCTTTCAAGATTTTCAAAAGATATGTTTCCAAATACCCGGAAGATATTCACCACTAATAAACTCACTTTTAACATGAAAATATATATATACTAAACCCACAGCTTATTTTCAGTTACTATAAACCACAATTTAGCCTGTTTCAAAGTTTATTTGTTAATATGCCTTTTCAATTCTTTCAAGATAAAGAGTTAAAATTACAAGAAAAAAGGAAAGAAAACCAGGAACAACGTAATTAGTATTATATTCAGCAGGTTTATAACTACATAATAGTAACACACGTTTGCAGAGTCCAACTTATCACTAAATTTCCCAGTGTACTGGTCAGTAAGACTTTCTTTATACTATACAGTTATTGGGAGTTCTGGTGGTATGCTACAGGAGAAGCACTAAACTGCTAACCACAATGTCGGTAGTTCAAACCCACCAGTCACTCTTTAGAAACCCTATACAGGGTCACTGAGTCAAAACCAACTCAACAGCACTTAACAACAACAATACTGTGATTAAAAAGATATAATGCAGTCATTACTTCACAGAGATACTTAATGATGGTGACACTCCAAAAGAGTTTATTTTTTTTAATGCAAAACTTCATTTTATGATGACTTAACATAAAACTTATGATGACTTAAAATCAGATGCAAAAATTAGAGCATGCAGTCCGAAAATCAGATAGGAGTCTTTAAAACAAACAAAAAACAATGAAAATAAAAGTAATTCCAAAATCGTGTATGGTTAATTAATTTATTCACTCAATCAACATTTATTACTACTATAAAAGCTTCTGGAATGAGGTGGACATTAGATCAAATAAACATAAAGTAATTGTTTATTAAGAACCTACCAGGTGCGAGGCTTTGGACTAGAGGACACAAAAGCAACAAAAGACATTGGTCCCTGCCCTCATGGAGCTTACAGGCTAGTTGAAACAGACAAATCATTACAGATACAAAGGCAAAGCGGCAGGGGGTCATTAAGGCAGAGGGACTGGTTGTGTCTGGAGGATGCAGGAGGGGTAGCTTCACAGAGATGAGGGCAAGGAGCTGGGCCTTGGATGAGGAGGAACTTGCCAGATGGAGGGGAAGGGGGCAAGCACATTCCAAGCAGAGCAAACAGCATATGAGCAAGCAGAGTCTTGAAAGCAGCACATGCCACGGTGCAAGATGACGAGGGGTCCAGCGCAGCTAGAGCAGAAAGTGCACACAAACTACAGAGATGAATTCGTTTCTGTCGTTTGGGGTTTTTCATTTTAATGATTCGTAAGTGTCAGGAAGTACATCTTCTTATTATACTAATGTAGCTAAACTAAACTGGGGCTCGGATAACAATAGGGCAATTTGGAAGTATTCCATTCACTCGATAAATATTTGAGCCCCATCCTCTAGATTGCCTAGTGTAGTTAAAATAACAATATTTTCAAAAGGCAGTTTTAAAATTTCCTCTGTACATTTAAGCAGCAAAATAAAACTACAATAAAGGCTTCTTTCAGCTGAAATCAGGGAGAAGTCTCTAACTTGAGCTCCTCTGCCCCTATGTCCTATTTCTTATCCTTCACTTTTATTACAATCAATTCACGCCAACCCCACAGGTAAGGAAGACAGAGGCAATTTCATCCTTCCCTACCCATTCTACCTCTCTAAACAAGGCATGTGCCAAGGTCCCTATGAAAACCACTGCAAGGTATTATGATATGAGGAAAGAGTACATTCTAACTTCTTATTAACTTTTGGAAATTAAACTTCCCATCATAAAACAAGCTATTAGTCCTGGATACTTTCCTCTACCTGAAGGATCTCCAGTCCTATCCCTTTGAATACGTTCGGGGGGCTAAAGACACCCCAGCTCAAACCTCTCAATCAATGTGAGCAACTGTATGCATGACATTCTTAATAAAAACAGATAGGAAGCATAGGCCTCATTCCCTTCAGAAAAGGAAACAAGATGAGCAATACGAGTGTTTTGGCCAGAAATGTTCCTTTCTGACATCGCTTACCAAGGTGCTTAGGAAGCTAGGAACAACTTCAAGGAGCCACAGGAAAAGGAAAGGAAAAAGCATGTCAAATGTTGTGCGAGGTGTTTGGATATGAACTCTCCTTTACTCACCACAGTATTGCCAAAGGAAAGATTTTACTGCCTTTATTTTACACATGAGAAATCAAAGGTCATCAGAAGTTGGGAAACTCACCCAAGACTGCATCTGCTAGTGACAGAGGTAATACATCCCACCATTGCTGGCTGGGTCCCAAACCACTTCTACTCTACAATACTGCCACACTGCCCCTAAGGCCCTACAATGTGTGCACAACAGCTCCAAAGTGCAAGCCAGAATAGAACAGTTCCTACGTCTCCTTCCACTCTCTTCACACAGTCAGCGTGAGACACAGTGCTGGACCTGGACACACACACACACACACACACACACACACACACACATCCCTGACATGCAGAGGAAGAAAAATGTGAGCAAAAATGGTGAAGATCAGTTGCCATCGGGGTGAGTACAAGAAAGCTGCAGAAGGTTGGGAGTAAGTGAGAGGAAATAAGGCAGGAGGGAGGGAGGGAGGACGTTTTCTTTGTAGAGTTATTTGGGTGCTTTAACACAATTATAGAAATAATTCAGAATGCACAGGGAGGTTTTAATTCATGAAGAAATGAAAATGGAATTAAAAGATAATGGAATCTTTCCCCAAAGTTTCTTAAGCCCTCTCATCTTTGTTTAGATTCCTGGACATCAAACTATAAACTCAATAAAATTTAGAGCTTTAAGAAAAAAATGTTAGCACTAACAGAATACTCTCTAATCACAGTACGAGGATGAAAATGCTATTCAATGTTATCGAAAGTTCAAAATACAATTTTTTCTTCCTGAAATCTCAAATCTGAAAATTAGTATGTAATTATAAACTACGTGGTCAATACTTGCCAAATGAAAAGTTTGCCTCTTTTGTGGACAATAGGGACTAATAGGAAAATATTTAAAAGGACAATTAACACAAATCTTTTTTACAAACAGTTGCCCCACTAGGCAAAATGCATGATGTACCTTGGCCAAGAGATACTGACATGCTTTCCAGTGTGTACAATTTACTTATGCTAATATGAGGCAGCTCCAAAGAGTGCATGGACAGATAGAATCAAAAGATAATGAATGGAGTTTGCCCACAAACTTTTTGAAGCCTCCTCCCCTCCCACCCCACTTAGTACCTACATAAATACTGTGTAACTATGAGAAACTAAATCAGATTCAAAAACCAAAATACTTTGCTGGGGGTAAAAAGAAAGATAGTCAGGCAACCAAAATTCCAGTGACAATCTAAACTTAAAAAGTTTGCTCTTATAATTACAGTGCATGCTATTTTTGGAGAACTTCTGAAACAGCATGCATATGCTGTGAAGTAAATTAACCAACCTTATTTTGATTGAGAGGATCATTTCGAAGTCTCTGTTTGTTCTTCTGTAATTTACTAGGCATCATCTTTCCAGTTCTGAAGTCAAAACTGCTGAGATCAACAGTATTTCCCAGGTACCTGGCCAACTGAGGTTTGCTTCTGAACTTCTTACCGCTTGGACTGAAAAGCAGATAAGCAGAGATAAGGCTATTTGTACAAAACACAACAGTTCTCTTAGTTCTCTATTACACACCTTTCTGCATGCCATCCTTTCTACCTCCAGGTGTTACCACTCAAGGAGTTTGTCTAAGGGAGTAATTTTAAAGAAACTGTAAAGCTTTAAAGGAACATTGGAAGTTTCCTGTGAAAGGGGATACTGTGTCTGTCATCTGACAGAACCAAGTAGGTGCATCGCTGGAGCCCGAAACAGATGTAACCACAGATTAGCCTGCTGGTCGGTCCACTCAACAACCACTGACAGAACCTAACACTACCAGAGTGAGCGGGTACAACATGCACACTGCACTGTCTTATGTACAACCTTCTGTTTCAACCTGACTTTGAAATGCTATTTTTCCTGTGAGGTGTACACACCAATGCCAGTAGTTATCAAAGTCCCCTGAGCCAACAACCCTTGTTAAATAGGTGCATCACACACGCATTACTTGGTATCCCTATCATTTGGGCCCGTATGATTAAGAAAAGGAAAATAATGGAGCAGAAGACAAAGGGGAAAAGGCATGGAAACCAAGCAATAAAATAGTCCCCTGGAAAAGTAAAAAGAACTTACGAGTTATGTCCAAAACCATACACTACTTGTCATCAAAGCTATGATATTCTGCTGTCAGACTTCAAGATAACTAAAAACACTATCAACATTCTTTTCCACAACACATGACCTAAGTATTCCTGAAATACAAATCAAAGTATACAACTGAGATTACAAATGAAGATAACCAGACAATAAAACCAAACAAAACAGAAAAGCCACCAGAACATAGAACACAGATATAGAGTCAAGCAAAGGCAACTCCGATCCTAACCCAGATGTCCACATATGCTCGCTCCATTAACACAAAAGAAAATGGTACATTATCCAAACTTACATCATCTCTGCTCACCACAGACTTCCACCCTAATTCTGACCTTCTAGTGCCGCCCTCCATCTTTGTTATCATCCAAGCAAGGTCAGATCACCACCCTCAGTGCTCCCATCCCACCACCTCATATCCAGTACAGAGTTCTAAACCTGGAGGCTCAAGGCTGAAAAACTAGTTTCATCTCCTTAAAAAACACAAAGCCCACTGCTGTCAAGTCACTTCCATCTCCCAGGGCCACTAGTTTCTACAGTGGAACTTTCCACAAGGACAGGGTTTTTAGAGCTATAACCTTTATAGAAGGGGAGCTTCAGGCATTTCTTTCTCAGTGCTGCTAGGTTAGCATGTGAGTGTAAACTGCATTACCTGGACCTTTCACTTCCTCAGCATGGTGGCCACATTCTAAACTCAATGAATTTATCCAATCACAAGAATACGCCACATGCCTCAGACTTTATAGCTCAGTCTTTCTGGATGTAAGGAAAGCTGTTGTTATGTGCTGTTGAGTCCTTCCAGAATCATAGCAACCGTACAGTACAGAACAGAGAAGACCACCCCATTTGGTTTCCTATGCAATAATCTTTATGGGAGCAGATTCCCATGTCTCTTATCACATTGAGCAGCTGATAGGTTTAAACAGCCTGTATAGGGTTTCCAAGGAGTGGCTAGTGAACTAGAACCATCGACCCTGAGGTTCAATCTAACTTTGCAGTCCAGCACATTAGCCCATAGAGCCACCCCAGGAATGTTCTTGTTTCTGTTAAGTGCCATTAAGTCAATTCCAACCCTGTATAGGGTTTCCGAGGAGCAGCTGGTGAGCTTGAACCGCCGACCTTGCAGTTCAAACTGCTTTGCAGTCTGGCGCATTAATCCACAGCGCCACACCAGAACTCATGTAGAAGGACTGTTGTTGCTGTTGTTGTTGTTATGTGCCATGGAGTCAGTTCCGACTCATAGTGACCCTACACAGGGTTACGGGAGCAGACCACCTCATCTTTCTCCCGCAGAACCGCTGGTGGTTTCGAACTGCTGACCTTGCGGCTGGCAACCTGATTCGTAACCACTACGCTAAGGAGCAATATCCTGCCTGCTGAAAATCTGTTATAAGCTCTAAGCCCAGCTCTATGAAGCTTGAAGCTCTCTGTCTCCAATCCAAATTAGAAGTAAATCCCTTTATTTCCTACAAGTGTTATGTTATACCAACAATTTCTAAATATTTCCTTGACGATTCAAAACAACCTGAAATTACAGTGCCACTTTGAAAGAATCGAGTCTTTCCAGTACAAAACAAGGTAAGCCCTTTAACAGTACTATTCAAACTATGCTATGATTTTAGAGTGGATGTTTAGAGACAACTCTGAAGTATTATAAACAGAGTTTAACACCTCATTAGAATGCGATTTTCATGATAAATGTTTCACTTATTTACACTGCATGGAATTTTAAAAAATTAAACTAGAAAATACTTTCATGGTTAGTATATTACACTACAAGATAAATGAAGTATTTCTACAGAACTCAAATGAAAACGTGGTAAAATTACTGTTACATCACCAATCAGAAACCTTATAGAAAGAAACTATTAGTTGGAATCAACTCAATGGTAGTAGATTTGGGTTTTGGATATAATTACAATTAATTTTAATGAACCTTGTTAAGTGCTCTTGAGTCGGTTCCAACCCATGGAGACCTTGTATATGATTTCCAAGGAGCGGCTGGTGGGTTTAAACCGCCAACCTGGTGGCTAGCAGTCCAGTGCTTATCCTACAGTAGTGCCATTTCAGGACTCCAGATTAGAATAGCTAGATCACTGCCTACCCACAGTTACTGTTGAGCTAATACAGTGAAGCCCTGGGAGTCAAGACCTCAGAAGTCTGCCTTGTTCTTCTAAGTCTTGCAAGTTTTCTGCCTTTATCAGGGCGCACTCTTACCACTTTCTAGTGCTCATTTTAGTGGCAAATATTTACATTTTCCTTGGACATGTTTCCTCCACCTTATATAGATTCCGACTTCCCAGGTTTTCGGTGGTTGATGGTTGTGTGCCATCGAATAGGTTCCAACTCATCAACCCTTGTTAGCGTTTTCCAAGGTTGCAAATCGGAACAGAAAGCCTCATCTTTCTCCCACAGAGCAAGTGGTAGACTTGAACTGCTGACCTTGTGGTTAGTAGTCGAGCTCAAAATTCACTACGCTACCATATTGTTGTTGTTATTGTTATGTGACATCGAGTCGATTCCAACTCATAGCAGCCCTATGGTTTCAGAGACCTTGTGGTTCAAACCAATCCTATGGTTCAAACCAATCCTATGGTCCAGTGCTTATCCTACAGCGCCACACCAGACTCTACAGTTCTGGCAAACTATCTGATATATGAAGGGGCTTCAAAAAAATTGTGGAAAAATGGAACTAAATGATTACAGAATTTTCCTATGAACTTTTTGAAGCTTCCTCATTCTTCAAAAAGCTAAAATTCTCCACAAAATGAGCATTCCCACTAGATTTCTTGTTGTTAACAAGTGCTATTGAATCGATTCCGACTCAGAGCGACTCTGCATAAGGTTACTGAGGATTGGCTGGTGGGTTTGAACTGCCGAGCCTGTGGGTAAAGGACCAGTGCTTATTCTTTTGGTGTGAATTTAAGTGCCACTAAGGAGATTCTGACTCACAGAGACCCTGTAGGATAAGATTTCTGAGGAGCAGCTGGTGGGTTTGAACTGCCAACCTTGTGGTTCCCAGTCCAGTGCTGATGCTACAGTGCTATACCAACACCATGTAAGAAAGCACCATATAAAACCTCAATAGTAAATACAAGCTGAGCTCACATGGCTGTTAAGTACCGTTTCAAGTCTGTTCTGACTCATGGCAACCCTGCATAGGAACGGCTGTGTTGAGTTTGAACAGCCAAGCTTGTGGTTCAAACTGACCTTGTGGTCCCAGTGCTTTATCCCACAGCACCACACCAGGCTCAAGTACACCTTATTTAAATTAACAATAATTTTAAAAATCTTGCTGGCTAGTCGATTCCAATTCACAGTGAGCCTACAGGACAGAGGAGAAGTGTCCCAAAGGGTTTCCAGGGCTGTAATCCTTACAGAGATAGACAGCCTCACCTTCTGTCAGCAGCCAAGAATTTTACCACGGCACCACTGAGGCTCGTCAGGACCTTGCTCAGAGAGACTAATTTTCCAGAAGATGAGAATATTACAGTAGCAACCATAAGCAAATGACAAGCCATGCTGTATTAACATATGGCTTAGAGCTAACCAGAGTCACTTTCAAGGGACCTAAGTGACTAATTTCACAAGCTGCCCCTGCAATAAGCAGCTCCCTTATGTACAAGTTGAAATGCCAGTTAACCTACTGCAGCTGAAAACATGCTAGAATATTCCTCTACAGAACAAAACTCATTCAAGAATAAATCCATTTTAGACATCTCTCCTTCCAAGGAAATTTCATTAAATACCTAATAGCTCAATTAAAAGGCTATACTTGTGAAATGAGTCCTGGACTGGTAACCACAAGTTCGGCAGTTCGAACCCACCGGACTTTCTTGGAAACCTTATACAGGGTCACTATAAGTCTGAACCGACTCGATGGTACACAACAACACTCGTGAAATGTGACTGCACAGTATCATGCTCTAGATTACCAGTTTAACATAGCTCAAAATATTTCCCAAGTTTAATTTAAAAATCAAATGGAAGGCACATACAAGGTAGGTCTGACACTCTAGATGGTGTAAACTGTTTTGTGTCTGACTACTAAATGTGAGTGTTTGAACCTACCCAGCAGCACTGCAGAAGAAACGCCTGGTGATCTAGTTCTGCAAATGCTTTGGAACAATTCTGCAACACAAGGGCTGGTCATGAGTCAGAACAGACTCCCCAGCAATGGCTTTGACGCTTGGCATTATAGGACAAGCACTGGACCGCAAGGTTGTTTGAACCAGAAGGTTGTTGGTTCGAACTCACCAGATGCTCCACGGAAACCCTATCCAGGGTTGCTATGAGTCCGAACCACTGGAGGGTTAACAATAACACTAAGGAGCAAAACAGGAAATGGGGAGTTCTCAATTTTTAACTG